TTCCCTTAAGTACAAACTCTCTGACATGGATAAGAGTAAATACGAGATTGTCTATTTCTTAAGGACCATAACCCCTTTATATAGTTGATCTAAGAATTAATTATTGTTTGTACTTATAACTCTACCCCTCATTGAATTATAAATACAACTTTAATGGTATCTACACTTTTATTTCCATGAAACTTCTAATACCTTATGACTTTATAACATAATCCGTCACCTAATTTATTCATATTTTATGATAACAACATACATTATAAATATGTTCCCATAATTATGGATTTTAATCCAACAATCTCCCACTTGGGCAACATATGTTTCCTGATAAATGTATAACCTTATGAACTCAAAATTTGTTATCATGCAATAGGTATTTTATTACAATCTCTTTCATCAACTATATAAATATAGGATCAAAGCAATATTTTCCATATCTATCATGACTAGACCCATCAATGGTCACGTATACAAACACAGTCAAATGACAGATCAATCATGTAGCGTAGCATGAAAACTACATGCAATGTGAACCACACATGTTTATTTCCAACTGGTTCTCTTTAAACATTAGTGAGATCAAATTTTACCAAACACAGAGTGTGGATAAACCAAAATAAACTTTATTTCTACAGAAAATAAATTTAACATAAATATCCTTAAACTGAAGTAACTGAAATTGTGTCTATAACAAATTAGCATTAAAATTACAAACTCCCGCTAAAATTTAATATCCTTAAATGATATTAAACCCACATGAGTAGTGTGCTTATGAAAGACCTTGGGTGACAGTTCCTTAGTAAGCGCACAATTATGAGTTTGTATCAATATGTTCTATAAACACATAACCACTCTAAACTTTTCGTAATAACCAAAAACATAATGTCTATATGCTTAGACTTAAGGTGTTTCTGTTATATATAGAATAAATTACTGCAACTTAATTGTCACAAAGTAACTCAAGTGATCTTTCTTATCAATCCATAATTAGCAGTTCACGTGACAAAATTTTACATCCATATTCTAGTAAGTCGGAGTCCATAAACCTGATGATCTCTTACTTATTAGACCTCTGATATGTGAACATGTAACAATTTTGTTATTAAATGTATTTTATGAATCAATTTGGTTGTTATCCAACGATCCATACCCAAATTGATTAAATATTTATTTAATATCTTGAAATCATACGCTATGTCTGAATGCGTATAAACTTGAGTATATTAAATTCTTTATTTACTTGGAAAGCATAAGGAACCTTTATGGATTTCCTTAATTTCAAAATCATCCTTAGGGCACTGATCAAGACTAAGCTTGTTTCCTTTAGCAATAAGGGATATTATTTAGTGTACTCCCACTAAACTTATAATATATACAATTATCAATCAAATTCATCTCAAAACCAACTGAGATAATCACTTGGTGAAATTTATTATGCAATTAACAGGAGTCGTACTTAAACTCATAAACGGATTTCCCTAATTTTCATATCATTAACTTTGCTTCATTAGACACAATTTTCTAATCGCACATTATAAAACATCTCATAAATGTTATCATTTTGAAATCCAACTTATGTAACTCAAGATTAAATATTAGCAAAAATTATAATGATTATCCTGAAAGAGACTTTCAATGAAACCAAAGAGAAAGTCTCTACTAAATTAATGCCTTCTTCGTGACTATATCCTTTAGATACAAGACATGCCTTATACCTGTCAACATCACCTTTTGCATTCATTTTGGTTTTAAATATCCATTTGCAACCAATTTTTTTTGCACCTCCAGGTAATGAGACATGTACAAACACATGGATGTCATCAAAAGTGATAATAGAAATTGAGTTATAATCCAATTACTCCTTAAAACCAATTCCTCAAACCTTAGTTCTCCCTCTAAACTCAATATCCTCAAAAATATTGTTATAAATCTCATCTTAAAAATATTTCTAATTATTATATCATAAAACTTATAACCCCTAGATTGCTCAAAATAATCAAAGTAGTTGTTTAATGTTTTAGGACTCAATTTCTCCTCATATGTCATAACTTATCTCAAAAGAGAATAACCTTTGTAACATATTGTTGTCTTTTTTAAGTTAGACCCTTAACAACTACATTCTAATATTTTTTTTGTCATTATCTTTATATGCACTTTTCAAGTGAGTACATTCAAACTTATTATGCTCCAATCTTTCTTCCTCTTGCACATAATGAGAAATGAGCCCATTTAGAGTTCATTTCTCCCTTTGAGTTGATTAAACTTTATAGGAAGCGATACTGAGATCACAAGAATAAATAATTCTTTAGAGAAACTCTATCTTAAGTGTCTTAAGTCTTGAAGGAATATGAAACATACCCATAATATACTCCCTCACATTTTATTGACCCTCATATTTTATTGACATCAAAAAAGTAAAAAATGATGTCATTTAAACCTTATTGTTTTTAGGAAAACATTTTTCAATTTTGTCAAGGAAACCATTAATCTTAGTAATCTTTTCAGATTATGTGCTCCTAAAAGCTTCTAAAATGTTGTGCTTCATGACCATTAAATTTATGCAATTTGAACAAATTTAACCTCTCAAAATCTCTTATACCAATTAAGGATGTTATCCCCACGAGAGGTGGAAATTGTTTTTTCCTTAGTGCAAAGCTTATGTTCATACAATCAATAACTTTATATAAGTGCATTTTATCATTCCTTGAGTTTAAGCATGAGAAAAAAATGTATAATAACAGATATCATGATAGCAATAGATAAATAATTAGCTGAATACAAAATAAAACATAAATAAAATTGAAGCTCACGTGTAAGTAGATAAATAAATTCAAAATTATGGCTAATTATCATCTCAGGATACCAAACACTACATCAATATCAAGTCTTTGGATAATAATATTAACAATAATCTTGTTGTAGTAATCAACATTAATCACAAGTTATGTCGAACAATAGACTAATCTTTGGACTAATGTAATGCTCATATAAAGTACCTTATTATTGTCACATATTATCACCACAAGTGTCACTTGAAATTCGGTCCCTTTGGGTCTATTAATAAACGTATAAATCACAAGAAACACATAATCATCTTGATATTCTAAATAAATCAGTCTACACAAAAGAGGTCACTTTGGCAACATTATGTTTCAACTAATCTATCAAAATATCAGACGTGGTCATAATATGAATTAATTTGTTTCAAAATATATATACCATATTGCAAACGAACTAAATATTTGGTGACTATATTGAAAGTTTTAAAAGTTGGGGGAACTAAATGCTAGCATTTGAAAAGTTCAATGATCATGTGTATACTTTACCCTTTAATTAAAAGATAACCAAAATAATAATAAATTTGAATACATTTAAACTTTTATCTCAAGATATCATATGCTTCATTAATATTTCATCTTTCGACAAAATATTCACCTTAAGTGATATTTAGTGCGATAACCAAACATTGAAAATAAGAACATGTCAAGCAAAAATATTCCTTTGGGTCGATTTATTATTCACACATTAAACTAAATAATTATCACATGCTTATTACCAAAGTTATACATGCGATTATGTCGACCATTAATCTTCCTTTGGGCTGATCAATACTAACATATCCTAAGTTACATGTACAAAGTTGTATAAAATATTTCCATAATTGAGGTCACTTTAACGACTTATTGCTTTAATTAAACCATCTCAAAATAAATATTAGTATTCAAATTTAATATTTTCATAACAATCAAATATCAAAACTGAAATTTCTAATTTCATTACAGTATCCAAAATAATCCAAAATAAAGTTACATAAGTGGTGCTATCAAAAAATAGAAACTCAAATCTTTGATTGTTTGTGAAGAATTTCTTAAATATGCATTTAGTTCATAACTACATAAATCATGAAAAAATAAACTGAATTCAAAATAATCAATATTTAACCAAAAGTCAAAATTAAAGTACATATCAAATAATTAAATCTTTACTCAAAATGAATCGAATATGTCAACCCAAATATATATTCTATAATTCATAATAGTCAAAAATCAAAACTGAATTTTTTAATCATGTCATATTTTTCGAATTAACCCATAATAAGATTGTCTAAATAACATTATTAGAAATCGAAAACCTAAACATTTGATTATTCCTCGAGAACTCAATCATGGTACTTCTGAGTACATGAATACATTGTTTAAAATGTTAGATTATACTAAAAAAACCAATCATGAAATGATTCTAATTACAAATTTTTAATTCATTTATTAATATATAAGACATTATCATTTTAGTTATTTTTGAATTCTTTATGTCTTTTCATGTTTCTAGTATGTTGTCTGTAAGATCCCACAATTTACAAATCCAATGATCATCATGTTTCAAGAAATGATTATGTGGGTATTAAAGATTTAAATTGTGATTTCGGTTATATTACGTTACGTCAAAGATAATAAATATTATTACTATTATTATTACAATGTATCGTTATTTTATAATAATAATTTCGGATGACATTATTATTACTATATTATTGTTATTAACGGATCGTCAAAACCTTGTAAAATGTGTAAGCAGAGCTCTCGATGAGAGAGTTCAACGACTTCTCATTATAATAAAAATGACTTTAATCTTCCTCTCATTCTTCTGATATTTTGAATTTAGTCCCTTAGTTTTTAATTCAATTATGTCAGTCCTTTACCATTCTCAAAAATGTTTTGAGTGTATTAACAATTGAATTTTAAAATTTTACGCGTACAATTGAATGTTAAAATTCAACATACTCAAATTTAATGCAAGTCTGAAAATTGAGTTGAGTGATGAAATAAAAATAAAAGTAGAATAACTACATTTCAAAAGTACAAAGAATAAAGCGACCAGGACATAATTAAACCATAATATATTATAATATAAAGAAAACAAGCAATTGGTTTATGGGCTATAGGCTTTACCTAAGAATCTTAGGCCTACTAGAGACCATAATATACAAATCTAAGACCATAACAACTACATCAAAATATCAAAGTTTATTCGACACTATACCAACATTAATAGACTAACACATCATGGATATAGACATAGTTACCAGCATATCAATAATTAAGGGCCAGTTATATGATATGATTCATGCCGTCGTAACCCATTAATTAGAAAAGGAACAAGAGTGTCGGATTTCCCCTTCATCATCTGTCTTCACTTCAATGGTAGTGAGCTTCAAGAATGACTCCCCCCAACTCTTGAAGAAGCTTTCCTCACTATTTGCAAACTCCTCCACTTGTTTCCTTGTTCTTCCATCCTCTACAATAACAGAATCTGACTGAAACAACCCTTTGTGGGCCAACAGGTTGCTAAAATATCGATTATCAAATACAAATGACGTCTCGGGATCGTTGTTGACGGTGACAGATGTGCTACTTCCACCTGCTGGACACTTTTTTATGAGCTCTTGTGCGTAGTTAATGTCTAGGGATGTGTCGATCAGTGTGAGGTTTCCCTCAGAGTCTTGTCGGAATCGATCACTGAATGCACTACAATGAGCAAGGCCGATGGTATGTACACCTGTGTGAAGCCAAAATATTAACCCGTTGAAGCCTGCATTTATGAATATTATGATTTGGTTTTATGTTTTTTAGTACCTGATAGTGTGACAAGATCATCAACAGATAAGCCTTTAGAATTGAAAAGCTTTATCATTTCATCCATGGTAAAGCTTGTATCTACAATATTGGGCCTGACATTTGCAGAGTTTGATATTCTTCCATCTCTTCTACCAGTTGGAATCTGAAATGCCGGTCCACCAGCCTGTAACAGGTTCACTATGGTTAATCTATCCCCACAACTGAAGATGATTACAGATATGGTAAGAAAATGAAAACGTGGACTGGAAGTTTTTACAATTGCAACTGCATCTCTTGCAGCCAAAGCAATAATATCAGCACAAGAAACAGTTCCGGGACAGAAGATTTCGAGCACCCTTTTGGCCGAATCGATAACTGAAAATCCTCCAAGAGAAGTATTAGCGGGATCGCTTCGCTCCGTCCCATTCCCTTTTAATAGTACTGATGCATCACAACCCTACATGATACTTGGAAAAAATAACACATCAAGAAACTTTGAAGGTGAGAGGGGGGTGCTTTATTTGATCACCACCATTGGACTGACCTCCACGAAACAGTCATGGAACAACAGGCGCAGTAGTTTCCCGGGGACGGCAGGATCATTGGCCGAAGCTGATCTTACTGTGTTGCTCACCATCAACTCTGCAACAGGACATGATGTTGCATAGAAGTCGAAAGACAGGCGACCAAGCAATGGAGAGGGAGCAAAAGAGAAGAAAACAAGGATGAGAAGATTGCAGAGATTATGTGTTTGTGAAAAGAAGGAAAATTTCGACTCCATTGAGGCCCTGGTGGTCAAGCATAGGTGTAAAACTAGTAGTGGCCTTTGGTTTATAATTTTATACCGAGAATGATACAATTCAAGTGAGAGGCATTCAACCGGCCAAAGTTGTGCCCCATGAATTATTATGTATTTAAAGTAGCATTTATGGGGTTAAGCTTCTTCTGTCAGAGGAGTAGATGGGTTAAGTCATGCATTTAGTTGTGCTTGGCAGGGCTCCTTCACACGAAACATTTAAAGATCATTCAACATCTAACAAGAACTACACTCTTCATTAATTCATGGTACCAACTAGTTTCAATATTATCATATAACTGCATAAAACTAGAATAACTTACAAAGGGATTATTTGTTTTTTTTAATAAGAAAAATATTACCTCGAACATAATTTTAGGTTTTTATGTTAATCCATTCTCAAGTCGCAAAATAAAATAAACTCATATTCGTAATCACTACAGCTACATGTTTCATACAATTTAAGATAAAATATCTGCGGGTGTTCTCCATCTTCAAAAGAAAACAGAACAAAACGTCTCAAGTCCCACTAGCCTTTCATAAGTCCTCTCATCACAGAACCAAAGATGAACAAACATGTCGTTATAGTGGAATGCCTCCACCCGAATACTCTACCTCCTGAAATTTTTATCAATTTAAAGCAAGAGTTAGTGAAAAGGTTCCATATAACATCAGCTATATCAAAACAATGGCTAATCTGCTAAATCCAGAAGCATCACATGTTACATGATCAGATGGAAATTCTCATTATTCCATAGGAAAAAGAACTCAACATAAACTTTGCACCAAGGGAAAAGGAAAAACTGATCAACCTGAGCAGGGGGTAAGGATGACACCCAATCCGATGCATGTGTTGGAAGAAGCCCCAAAGTGTTAAGCTGTCAAAATAAAAGTAAAATCAAGCAAACAAAATGCACAACCTTCTTTCTGTTCAATAATCTTCAAAGGGGAAAATCGTTAGGAACTTTAACAAAAGGAAAGTGCAACTCACCTTCCAAACACCAAGTGCTAAACCACCCAAATTAAGAGCAATGAAAAGCAACTTAGGCCCAAGAAGTTCTACTTTACTGTCTTTATAAGGCTCAAAAACTGCAAAAGCAAAATCAAAGTGAAGTTCGGATGAATCAATATAGAAATGGAAACTGCATACCATAACATCCCAAGCATTAGGTGGCATTTTGGCAACCCATAACATTTTTAGATTGTCTTTCTTATGCATCTTAAACACTTTTCAAGAAGATAATTGGATATTGAGCTAGACAGAAAGGGAGAGATGCAAATCGTATATGGAGCAAAAACAATGAAGCTCTATAGAAGCATACCAGATAGGTTTCTTTTGAATGCTTAAGTGGCATTTATTAGTACCACATACAATTATTAAGGGGTTAATTATTTCATTCTTGGTTAGGGCATCTTTTATTCTTGCCCACCTTATTCTTTCCTCTTTTGACAACAGAACCACTCAAAACTAAATAGAGCAAATCATGCAGAACCAAGAACACAGGGAACAAAAACAATAAGGTAATAATACAGGATAAGAGAAAAATTAGTAGTAAGAGGCCACATACCCTTCCCAACACCTTGAAGAGCACTAACAGGCTGCCAAAGTGCAGAAAAAGTTATACCAATGCTAAAGAGATGCACTGTATTTCCAGCCATCCACATCATGAAGCCCATCATTAGCAAATTCTTGAATGGTGCTTGTGCCACTTCCCAAGCTTTCTGTTCAACATAAAAGAAATAGCATCTCAAATAACAGATTTTGATAGGTTACATCTTATACTAATGTCTGTCTCAATTGTCATATATACCCTTTAGTGAGGCAATCACAGTTCACATCTACTAACAAAGCCCCTACGTATAACTAGAAAAAAAACTCAGATGCTGAAACTCGATATGAATTTATAAGCCTCAACTTCCATTACGCTTGTTCACGACTTGCAATGGAAATTTCTCACTTGAATCCATTTGAAAGAAATCCGTTGATTTTCATCTACGTCCATAGTTAAATCATAACAAATTTGAAAACTTCAAGTCTTTAAGATCCAAAAGAAAATCAGTTTCAATCGTTAGTTAAGCATCTCCTTTTCTCGTATCGGAAAAATTAAAACAAAAGGTATGATTTTTTTTTTTAGAAAAAAAAAACAAGTACCTGAGCTTTCCAATTGGATTCAGCATCCTTCTTTTGGCGACTCGCAGTCGAATCGTCCTGCCAAAATACAAAGTTAAACCTAATAAAAATTGAAAGTTAAGGCATATATTTAAGAAAATTAAACCAAAAAAAAAGGAAGGGAAACCTGATCCACAGAGGCACGAGTGAAGCCGGGGGGATCGCGGATGTCACGGCACGAAGGAGAGGTGGAATTATCGGAGAAAGAAACAGCCCATCTTCGGCCGGACCCCATTACTCCTTTCCTGTCTCCGTCTTGCTTTCTTTATTATTTTCTTTTTATTTTCTGTTGATGTTTCTGGGTTTCGTATTTGCCTTTGGCTGCTACGGCGATTTGATTTCGGAATTTATTTTTAACGAGTCGTTTAGTTCATTCCAAAATTGTTCAAATTAAGGGTTTAACTCTCTAGTCATCCATAAACTATGGTACAAATCCTAATTTTATTCTCAAACTTTAAATTCTAGTCGAATCCTCAAGTAGTTAATATTGTTTCAATCAGATCCTTCTTTTCAATCACTTGTTTTCTGAATGTTGTTTTATTATGGAATGAAATTCTCTAGGTTTTCAATCACTTATTTCAAAAATGTGCATCTTTGTTTTATTATGGTTTGAATCCAAAGCTGGAAGGGAGAAATCTCATTTCACTAATTTTAAAACCTAATTGGTTTGCTATGGTCTGCCCTATCTGGCAAGAAAGGAACAAAACATATTTTACATCTCATGTATCAAACAATATGCAAATTTGGGAAGTGTACAGCCAATATGAAATTTTCCGGTGACAAATGACGAAGATATTTTAACTATTGACTGTAGAGTCGTTGTAGGTGATAGAAGAGTCCGAAAGGGTTAACCATTTACTCTACCACTGCGAGGTTGTGTGGAGAGAGTGGCAACGGTGGGGTAATATTTGGAAGATACATCTCAGTTTTTTCAAAGATGTCAAATCGTTGTTAATTGTATGGAATGTTTTGAAGGTCCAAAGGGTGTTAAAACCACTATAGACTATGAACTTCTTTGGTATCTTATGGTCGGTGTGGATCTGTAGAAATGATACGACTTTCAATATGAGACCCGCATCAGAGGAAAGTTTGTATGATGCAACAATTCAGAGGATTGCTGTTTGGGCTAATAGTTATTGGTCTTATATTTTTCCCACGGTTCGAAACTTTATTTGTAAGCCTTCATCTGTTATTCTCTATGAGAGGTGAATCAGTTCTTCCTTTCTTGGATTAATCGTATCATTGTTGGCGGGTGTTGGGCGAGAGGTGTTGCCTGTGCTTTTGTATAATTGTAATTCGTTGGTGTGTTTCTACTCGCTCAATTGTTTTTTTTTGTTGGTACTTTGGTTTCCTTGTGCTTTAGATGTTATTTAGTGCGTTTGAGTCCTTACAATGGTTCCTAATCTTTGATATTGGTGTTGGCTCCTCTAAGTAGATTAACTCGAAGATGAGTGTCATTCCTGTTTGTCTCCATCTCTGCTACCCTAGTATGCAGGTTCTGGTCAGCTTTGGGGTCTTGTGCTAAGGTTCTTCCCTACTTCGTTGGTTGGGTATTCTGGATATAAGATGGCCAAGTCGTGTTTGTTTCATTGTTGTCTTGTTTTGTATATTTCATAAATATATCTTATGCAATACCCAATTAGCATACCATTCACAAGACCAAAACATTTTTATTAAAGCAGATTTTGAAGCCTGATACATCAACTTACTTGCATCAAATTTTCTAATGAGATTCCAACACTTCCAAGGCATCACGTCTTCTTGAGATAGAATTGGCTTTCAGTTAGCTTTTCAACATATTTTGAAATGCCTCAACCGGACATCATGAACTCAATATATGTTTATTTTAACGAAGATAACATGTACAAAAAATTGAATACGGACCTGATACGGGAATTTTAATCTATTATGAATTTTCAATTGTTTTTAATTTTTTTATTATGATATGATTTTTTTTAATTAGTGTATATAACATTAATTAAAAGATGCTAGGGTTTTTTTCTTTTAAGATTTTTGGAAACCTATAAATAAACACTCTTATTATGTAATAGAGGGAAGATTTTTGTGTGGGGAAAATAGGAGAAAAAAAAGTCACTTTAAGGCATTTCGAAGATTGAGAACAATAAAAAAAGAATCTTTGTTTAAAAGTATTTTTTTTCATTTGTATTTTTCTTATTCGGGTCACTTGACTACATTTTTTTTATCTTTTCGAAAATTCAATCGAAAAGAGAACCGAGGAAATAAGGAAAAAGGCTTTCCAATATATCTTCATAGATCAAGTCTTCCTTGAGAACCAGTGGTAGATCTTAACTGTGAAAATATTTTTACTTTTATATTTTTTTATCCAAAATTTGGAAGGAAGAAAATAAATTTATATTTGAAATTTTGATATTTTTATTCAATTAAATAACCTGATGACCCAACTTGCATTCCAGTTAGATCAACATATTTTCACATGGGTAGGAGATGATTATTAACGAAATCCCACTATTTTCTTTAAAATTTTAACCTAAACCTTTTTTGTTAATTATATTTTAATTCTTTTTAAATTGAACCTTTCAATTTCACTTTAATTCATTTTAACCATTTATTTTTTTTAATTATTGTCGAATACCTTTTTAATTTTCTTTATTTATTTTTTATTTCGGTTGTAACATGTTGTGAATGTTTTTTAATTTAATTTATTTTTTTATTTTTGATTGTATGATTTTAACTTTCTTTTTATTCATTATATATAATATTTTTTATTTTACATTAATTTTGTTATCTTTCATTGCGTGTCTTTTCCATATTTATTGTGTGTCTTTTAAACTTTGTACATTTATATCTATTTTTAATATTTTTTTATGTATGTTTCTTTTTGGTGTCTGTGACCCTTTAATCTTATTTTGCTGATTAAACTTAAATCTTTTTATTAATTTCATATGCTAATTTATTTAATTTTGCATTGATAAAATCTCAAAGGCAAGTATTTTGGATATTTTTCTTTAAATTTTGGCTCTAACTTTTGTTTCCTCTATTAAGACAATCCATAATCGTGTTGGTACCGAAAGAGAGATGTGATGGTGCTCATCCTTCCCCACACATAATCGACTCCCGAACTCTTTCAAGTAAATCTTTGATAAGACGTAGATCTATTAAGAGGTAAAATTTAGGTATCTGACCTTATCTAATCCAAAAGGGTTGGTGGCAAATCCAAAAAGGTAAAATTCACTTTAAGTCGAAATGTGATCACGGATCATTCGAAGAATTTTTAGATCATTTTACTTTACCTTTAAGAATTTTTACTTTTGTAAATAGTTGTACTAATGTGTGCTTTCAGTGATTTTCAGATTTTTTTTCTATCAAATTCTTTTCATCTTAAGCTCTATACTCGAGCTTCGAACCCTTTTAAGTGGGGGTGAAAGAGACGCTCTCTTGAGAATTTATTCTCTGTATGGGCCTAGCAATTAGCTTTCGGGATTCATATACCATATGTCTTCGTAGGAATTTATTTCTCACGTGGACAAAGGGGAATATGTCCTCTCAAGTTTAACTCGGTCCACATAAGCTAGTGATGGGCTTAGGATCGAGGGTTTGGCAGTCCCAAGGGGGCACCAGTAAAGAGAATTCGGGTCACTTTCTTAGAACCAAACTTGTTGTTGTGTGAGCTTAGAGCCTACCCAAAGCCATATACAAGCCCTATGATGCTTGTTTTCATGTCTTAATTTTATTGTTCCATGCATGTGAAAAAGAAATATACGCATTCGGATTTTTCTATCAGAAAGCATGCATGATAGATAATCATGGTCGGGTATGAATAAAAGCATGTGGGGGTAGATATCATGTGGGTAAGAATCATTATGATTTTGCTTTTATTTTTAATTTACCATACTAACTCATTTACTTTTGTTTTTCTTTTTCTTTTTACTTTTTTATTAACCATTTGCATCATTATAGAGAGATATTGATATGTGAAGTGTTTGTCAACTTCGAATAGTTTTTATTAATGGACAAAGTGGTTGTGATGTAAGAGGTTAAAAAATATAGAGATAAGGTGATAGTTAGGGAAGACTAAAAAAATGACAGTTTACAAGATGACACATGTTAGAGTTAGTTGACTATGTTGCAATCAACCTCAAGCAAAATGATGTTCATGAGCTACTAAAGCATGTGAGGCAAGCAGAATCACGAGAAGAAGAAGATGAAATTCTCAATATCTATTTTATGTACGAGTGGATGAGGCTCTAATTTGAGAATTAATATAGTTTTGAAATATGTGGTACAGTTGAAGACATAATATCCACTACTGAGGAATGCAAGACTTTGTTTCATTACAAAAGAGTCTAGACAGGTCGGGTTCATTACAAACCTGACAAAGATTACGAGAGTATATCAAGTCAAACAAAAGATTATGATATTAAAGTAGTCTCTCCAAACATATAATGAACAAAAAAACATTGAACGTAAAGTCATTAAAAACGTAGATTGTCATGGAATGATACAAGAAGAAAGCGAGTGAACTTCAAATACTCCTATATCATGGAGGACAATATCGATGATTTCGATAGAAACAAGCCCAATGGAAAGTGAAGGAAAGAGATGCAATCATATGAGAGTTTATAGATCATATCCACAATATGGATCATCACCTGTATGGCTTGACAAGAGAAGCTAGGACAATGATGTAGGGTATCCAACTAGTGACCAGTGAAGTAAGAAGACTTGAAGCTGTCCAGAGTTTAGAAGATCTAGCAAAAGTTTAACTCATAAATGTTTTTAGTTATTGTAATAACACTTTTGTTTGAATGAAGATTATTTTTTATGATGGCCACTTTTGGGATCAATGCCTCGAATTTTTCATGCATTTCTCATGTATTTTAATTTTGCACTACCATTATGCATTCATCATTAAGATCGAATAATGAAGAAAATATAATTGAGACTTGCTCAACTGGAATAAAACTTGCGAAAGATGGAACTAGAATAGGAAGCTAAGTCAGGAAAGATGAAATAATCAATTCTCGACCACAAATTAAGGACTAGATTAACTCGAGATAGCTAGGGAAGAGAAAGGAAAAATATTATCACCAACTCAAGCATTGAAAAGAAGGGTATTGTATGTCCTTTAGGATTTAATTTTCCTTGCAATAACTCATTACAAGTGCCTATATGGCAATCTTATTCGAGTTTATAAAAAATATTGAAGCTGTGAAAGATGTTGATGTCTCGTACAAAAAATTAGAATCAAGAGAGCTCAGTTTGGCCCCTAACTTGGTTGTCCCATGTGATTTCAAGCAGTCATACATTTAATATGAAGTGGGCTATTATGAGAACACTAGATGAGGTCATTATCTAT